TTCAAAGACTACTGTATCATCTGCAGTATACAGTTTCAATTAACCTGCCTGTTTTTCCTTCCAAAATACACTCTATCACCCAGCACTTCGTTATTAATTAAAAAAACATATTTCTCTGTGTATGTGCATGGGTCCTTTGCCTGCTGTATGTTTGTGCACAAGCCAGAAGAGAGCCTCCTGGGACTGGAGTCACAGACAGTTTGAGCTGCCATGTGGGTGCTGGGAATCACTGAGTCATCTCTCCACACCAATGGTACCTGATCATTAGTACTATAATAGTTATGTAACATTAAGAAAAAAGTGACATTTTACTTCACATATTTATTTTCTTTTTGTATTTATTTATTTATTTATTTATTTATTTGTTTGTTTGTTTGTTTGTTTTTGAGACAGGGTTTCTGTGTGTAGCTTTGGAGGCTGTCCTGGAACTCACTCTGTATACCATGCTGGCCTCGAACTCACAGAGATCCTCCTGTCTCTGCCTCGGAGTGCTGGGATTAAAGCCTGGCTCACATATCTCTTTTCTAATATCCTTTCTTTCTTATGCAGCACATCTGTAATTCTGACATACATTTTCCTTTCCTCTGAAAAGTTTTAAAATAGCTCATGGAAGATAGATATAACGGTGTTAATGAATGTCCTAACTTTTTGTTTGAGAACATTTTTGTTTTACATTTTACTTTGTTTCTTGAGATAGTCTTGGATAGGTAACCATGGCTGTCTTGAATTCCAGTCCTTAGCCTTGGGAGTGCTGGCATTCCATATCATGCCTGGCCCCATCTTCTTCTCTTCTGAGGGATAATTCTGTTGGATCTACTGTCTGAGGTTGATGAGGATTTTTGTTTTTGTACACTGTAAATATTTATTTCACATTCTTCTTCCTTTCATGGTTTCTGATATAGGTTATAGAGATTTTTGTTGTTGTTTTAAAAACTATGACACTTTCAAGATTCTTTTTCCCTTTGCCTTTGGTTTTCTGTAATTTGAAGAGGACAAGCCAAAATGTAGATTTTTAAAAATCTAATCTTTAGAGTTCTCTGGGCCCCCTGGACACACATTTTGGTGTCTGTCTCTAATTTTAGAATTTTTTGAGCTTTAATTACTTATTTTGTCTTCTTTCCCACTTTGATGGTGTTTTCCAACCCTTTTAATTCTTATTTTCTCTTTAAGTCTAGAAGTTTCTGTTGACCTCTGTTCACTCTTTTCTTGGTTGCACTACAACTAATGATATGCTTGTTGGAACATTCTGAATTTTCATTTAGCATCCTTTATTTGCAGCATTTCCTTAAAAGAATGATTCCTTAGTCTATGAATCTATTTCTTATGCAGTATATATTTTTCCTATAGTGTCCTTAGCATAAATAGTGGAGTTATTTTAAGTTCCTCTCTGATAATGGTTTGGGATCAGATTTAATGCTTGCTTTGTTTCTTCAGATTATGGCCTTATTATTGCCTGTTAGCATTGTTTTGCTTTTTGTTGAAAGCTCACAAAAAGTATGAGAAATGATGAAATCAGACATTCTGTGAGAGACAGTATGGAGGGGCTCTGGGTTATGTTTAATGCTGTTTGTGGGCAGTGTGGTAGTTTGAATAAATATAGCCCCCATAGGCTCCTATGAGAGTTTAGTCACCAGGAAGTGGAACTGAGAAAGGATTAGGAGGACTAGGAGGTGAGGCCTTGTTAGAGTAGGTGTGACCCTGTTAGAAGAAGTATATCACTGAAGGGTAAGGTCTCAAAAGTCCACAACAGGCCCACTGTGTGTGTGCATGTGTGCTCCTGTGCCTGCCTGCCAGCCGGCCTGCTTGCCTCCCTCCCTCCCTGCAGATCAAGATGTAGCTCTCAGTACTTTTTCAACACCACAGTGCTTCTAGCCATCATTATGTACTAAGCCTCTGAAACTATAAGCAAGCCCCCAATTAAATGCTTTCTCTTATGATTACATTTCAGTTTTACCGCACCTGAACATTTCCTAGAAACCCATTTCCCTCTTTTCTCCCCTGTGAGTCAGGAGGGCTATTATAAGGGGGTCTAGAGATCTCTGTTTGCTTTTTGACAGGTCAGAACAGGTCCTGATAAAGAAGTTTGTTTTATACAGCAGGGATTGCTTTTGTTCTGAAAATCACTGTATGCACTTCCAATGCTTTCATCTCCCTTTCTTACTGGAAGAAAATTTTCTCTCATCTCACCACAAGTACCCAGTAGAATTTCTGAAGAAAGGCTGAATTGCTGAGCATGATAAACATCAAACTAGTCCCCATCAGCCTCCATCAGTTCCTTGGCATTGAAGAGCCCCCGCCCCCACCCTTTCAGTTTGCTAATTGTTCAGAATTTATTAGAAAACAAAATCCCCACACAGACAGCTCCCAGTTTTCTCTATAATAAACAGACTTTTCTAATTCCACTCTTCTTTTCACCCATTTAAGGATACTTGTTTGGCTCACACATTTTGGCAAGTAATTATTCTGTCCTTACACTTGATTTTATACAATTTTGTACAGTTTATCACTTTCACCGCACTATCCTGTATTCCTATCCAGTTGGAAGGTCTTCAAAAAAAAAAAAAAAAAGAGAAATGTATGTAACTCTTCTCTATTCCCTACAAGCACAAAATATGACAACAGTATCTAGTGAATACTGAATGAGCATGGGGTAGGATCCAATTCAGTTACTTGTGCTGGGAGTGAGAACTAAATATTTTACCATAGGACAGATTGCTACCAAGTTTGCTTCTAAGCTAGCAGGTGGGGCCATTTTAAATGACACTTGAGGGAACTAGTGAGAAAAATCAAGGTCAGAAAGGCTCTGATAGAGGCTCTGGTGTTCTGTCCTGCCTGCCTTGCTGTCTCAGAATCCCTATGATTTCTAGATTCTTTTTTCTTTCCTTTATTCAAACAACCAATATTTATTGGGTACACCATCCATGTTAAATTGTAACTTGGTGGTCTAGAGAAAGGATGGATACTTAAGATCTTGTTGGTATTTATAAATTTATTATTTTTACATCCCTTCCCGCCTCCTCTTCTGTTTATGAAAGAATAGGTCTCCCATGAGGATCAACAAAACATGGCATACCAAGTTGCAGGAAGACTAAGCACCTCCCCCGGTAGTAAGGGTGAGTAATACGAGTAGGGTTCCAAAGGCCAGCAAAAGAGTCAGAGACAGGCATGTTCGGACTGTTGTTAGGAGTCCCACAAGAGGACCAAGCTATGCAACTGTACCATATATGAAGAGTGCCTAGGTCAGTCTCATGCATTATACATTCAGTCTCTGTGAGCCCTTATTAGTGCAGGGTAGTTGGTTTTGTGAGTTTTCTTATGGTGTCCTTGACCCCTCTGGCTCCTATAATCCTTTCTTCCCCTCTTCAGCAAGATTCCCTGAACTCCATCTAATGTTTGGCAATGGATCTGCATCTGTTTCCATTAGTTGCTGAATGAACCTTCTGATGACAGTTGGGCTAGGCATCAATCTGGTCACAGGAGATGATCACTACAGGCTATGTTTCTGCTATTGTTAGGAGTCGTAGCTGGTGTCATCCTTATAGATTCCTGGGAGATTGCCTTACACTAGGTTTTTACCTGAAATGCCCAGACTCCCTTTTCAGTAGTTTTTTTCCTTACTCTCCCCAAATGCCTCCCATCCCCACCTGTCACAAAATCTCTTCTATTTCCCCTTCCCAGGGAGAGCCAGCTGTTACCTAGTCTCTCCAGGTCTGTGGATTGTAGCATAGTTTTCCTTTGTTTCACAGCTAATATCCACTTATGAGTGAGTACAGACCATGTTTGTCTTTCTTGGTCTGGGTTACCTCACTCAGGATGATTTTTTTCTAGTTCCATCCATTTGCTTTCAAATTTCCTGGTGTCCTAGTTTTAACAGCTGAGTAATACTCCATTAAGTAATACTACATTAAATGTACCACATTTTCTTTATCCATTCCTTGGTTCAGAAGTGTCTAGGTTGTTTTCAGGTTCTGGCTATTACAAATACAGCTACTATGAACATAGTTGAGTAAGTGTCCATATGGTATCAGAGTGCATCCTTTGGCCCAAGAGTGGTATACCTGGGTCTTGTGGTAGACTGATTTCCAGTTTTTTGAGAAACCACCACACGACTTCCAAAATGGCTGTACAAGTTTGCACTCTCACCAGTAATGGAGGGGTGTTCTCTTTGCTCCACATCCTTTCCAGCATGAGCTGTCACTTTTTTTTATCTTAGTCATTCTGACAAACATAAGATGGAATTTCAGAATCATTTTGATTTGCATTATCCTAATGGCTAAGGATGTTGAACATCTCTTTAAGTGTTTCTTGGCCATTTGAGATTCTTTTGTTGGGAATTCTCTGTTTAGATCAGCACCCCATTTTAAATTGGATTATTTGGCTTGCTGATAATTTAGTTTCTTGAGTTTTTTATATATTTTGGAAATCAGCCCTCTGTCAGATGACATGTGGGGTTTTTGTCCATTCTGTAGGCTGCCGTTTTGTCCTCCTGACAGTGTCCTTTGCCTTACAGAAAACTTTCAGTTTCATGAGGTCCCATTTATTAAGTGTTGAGTTTAGTGCCTGTGCTATTGGTGTCCTGTTCAGGAAGTTGTCTCCTGTGCCAATGCCCTCAAAGTTATTTCCCACTTTCTCTTCTGTCAGGTTCAGTGTATCTGGATTTATGTTGAAATCTTTGATCCACTTGGACTTGAGTATTGTGCAGGGTGATAGGTATGGATCAATTTGCATTTCTACATACTGACATCCAGTTAGACCAGCATCATTTGTTGAAGATGCTTTCTTTTCTGTACAGTATAATTTTGGCTTCTTTGTCAAAAATCAGGTGTCCATAGGTGGGTGGATTTACATCTGGGTCCTCAATTTGATTCCATTAATCCACCTGTCTGTTTTTATGCTAATATCATGCAGTTTTTATTACTATAGCTCTGTAGTAGATCTTTAAATCAGGGACGGTGATAACTCTAGAAGTTCTTTTCTTGTACAGGATTGTTTTAGCTATCCTGGGTTTGTGATTTTCCGTATGAAGTTGAGTGTTGTTCTTCCAAGATCTGTAAAGAATTGTGTTGGGGTTTTGATGGGACTGCATTGAATCTGTAGACTGCTTTTGGTAAGGCTGACATTTTTATTATGTTAATGCTACCAATCCATGAGCATGGGAGATCTTTCCATCTTCTGATATCGTCTTCAATTTCTTTCCTCAAAGGCTTGAAATTCTTGTTGCACAGGTCTTTCCCTTGCTTGGTTAGAGATTACACCAAGATATTTTATATTATTTGAGGCTATTGTAAAGGGTGATGATTCCCTGGTTCCTTCCTCAGCCCATTTATTGTTTGTATATAGGAGGGCTACTAATTTTTTTTTAGTTAACTCTTGTATCCAGCCACTTGACTAAAGGTGTTTATCAACTGTAAGAGTTCCCCAGTAGAGTTTTTTATGGGTTGCTTATGTATACATACTATCACATCATCTGTAAATAATGATACTTTTACTTCTTCCTTTATAAAATGTTTCCCTTAGTTTTCTTATTGCTCTAGCTAGAACTTCAAGTACTGTATTAAATACACATGGAGAGAGTCGACAACCCTGTTTTGTTCCTGATTTTGGTGGAATTGCTTTGAGTTCCTCTCCATTTAATTTCATGATAAAATCCCTCTTAAGAGATTAGCTTCTTCTTCCTTTTTTTAGTAGTGTGTATTTGAGGTTCATCAATGTCTTTTCTTGGCACAATAGCCTGTTTCTCTTCAGTGCTGAACAACATACCATCATTTGGATGTATTAATTTGTCTATTCACTTACTGGAGGATGTTTCATTATTGCAAGGTTTTGTCAAATATAAATATCTTGGTTATAAATATCCTTATTGATGTAAATTTTCAATTCCTTTGTGTATTGATCAAGTAATTGATACATCAAATGATGAGATTATGTTTGGTTTTATTCCCTCTGGAATGGTTGTTCCACTTTGCAGTTCTTTTAGTAATGAAGGAAAATTTCTGTGCTCTGTGTCCTCCCCAGTATATTGTGTGCTCACTACTCTGGATTGGTTCATTCTAGACAATTCCCTGCAGTATGTGACAGGCAGCACTGTGTCACCCTGATTTTATGTCTTTATCTCCTTTAGTAAGGCATCTTTGGATATTCTCAGTCCTTAAACACCAAGTTGTTGTTTTAGTTGTTGACTTCAAAGAGTTCTTTGTATATTTTAGAGAATATCAGATAAGACTATCCTTTTATTAGTTATTTAACATGTCAAATAACTAATATAACAAGATTCTTTATATTTTTTGAATTTTTCTTGTTTGATTTTTTTTTGCTAGCTTATAGTAATTTTGATTTTTTTTTGCTAGCTTAAAGTAATTTCATTAAAGTCTAAATGTCACTGGTGTTATTTAAACTTTTGGTTGTTTGACAAACTGTTGGTTAGTTTTCTAGGCTGCTTCTCATATATGATAGTACTCACTATTTAAATAAAAAATAATGCAGTAGAGAAACAGAATTATTTTTGTTGGCACCTTCTCTCCATGTCTTATATAGTGATGTAGCAAAGATGGATGGTTGGAAGGAAAGAAGATTCTACAGAGATTCTGATCAATAAAGATCCTTGGACAGATGCCCTATTTCTACAATACCTATTTATTTTACTAACATCAGTAACACTTAACATACACATTTCTTATATTTTTCCTTTCTGAAAAATCATCCGACTAGTAAAACTCAGTGGAACTGGTATAATTACTGTAATAGATACATGAAGCAAGTTTTAAAACTTCCACACTGCATGCATTTGCTAATATTTATATTTAGTGAGTAGGTGATTCACCAACCTGAGGAGAGAAGCAGTAAGGTTTTCATACAGAGATACTCTTCATAGGATACCTGCAATCTTTTTAACTCGGAGGAGACATACATCATGTGTTTACATTGGTCATACATGCAGGGTAGAGTCATTCTCTGCCTGTGAGACACAAACACAAGTGTGAGTTACAAAGAAACAGTGCAAGTCTAAAATAATAGCTGAATTTTTGTTTTGTTTTCAAATTCATGAGTGAAAGCATACCTATTACTGTCAATAATCCCTTGTAGAACTAGAATGTTGGCGAACAGGAGAGACTACTCAATAATACCCCTTTATACTAGACACTAGGTTTGTGTTGTTTCAGAATTGTGAATGCTTTGCTATACTTAGGACTCAGTAAGCTATATAATTCTGGAATGCCTACAGCACACTTTAATGGAATCATTAGGATTCAGTTATTTTTCAGATCTTCTGGTTTGCTTATTCCTTTTTATTTTATTTTTGAGATTGTAATATAATTACATCTATGTATGTATCTATCTATCTATCTATCTATCTATCTATCTATCTATCTATCTATCTATCTATCTATCTATATTTTCCCCTTCCCTCCAAATTCTTCCATATTCCCCTTCTTATTCTCCTTCAAATTGATGGCCTCTTTTTGTATTAATAGTTGTTACATACATGTATATTTATTTATATTCCTAAGTATATCATTACAACTTCTTGTGTATGTGTTTCTTGTGCATATGTTTCTAGGGCTGACCAGTGTTATTGGTAACTAATTGATATGTTCTTCCCTGAGCAAGACTATTTCTCCTGCACTCAGCATATCTTAGTTTCCAGTTGTTCTCTGTGTAGAGTTGAGGTCTTGTGAGCCTTCCTCCATTCATTTGAGTAGGTCTATTGTTTAGGCAGGGATACTAGTTTTCTTTATACTTTGCAGATATTATTTTATTTCCTTTAGCATTTAGAAGTTATTACTCACTTAAATCAACGTTTGGCATTTGACTACAGTCAGATCTACAACATAGTTTTTGATCTTACCATTTAAAAATCAGAAGGCCCCTCTCTGTTATATAGTATCCCATCCTAAAACAGTTACGTGTGAAAGTTGTCCTGAGGGGCATTATTAACATTGACATCTTCTCAGTCTTCATCTTATTTTTTGAGATTGAGTTTCTTACTGAACCTGGAGCTTTCTTATAGGCTACACTGTCTGGTAAGAAAGCCTCATGGATCCTCCTGTCTGTAACTCCCTAGTGTGTGTCTCCATGAGTAACATGTAAGCAGCTAAAGAACAGGGACCATTTCTGTATTCTGATGGAGTTAGGGGTGGAGCTCAGTTGGTAGAGTGCTTTGCCTAGCACTGGGCTCAGGTTCAATCCCTATTCCCTTCTCTCTACCAAGACTAAGAATGTTATGCATTGTTATTTACCTCTAATCCATGATGGTTGTTTCTTGGCTCTAGGACAAAATCTAAAGTCTACTTCATGAACTATATGATATTATTTTGTCATTATTCACTCCTTCAAATGCTACTATATCCTTGAGAGCCTTTCAGTTCCTCATCAAGCTTGCCAACTGTGCCAAGCTTGCTTCAGTTTTTCATGCTTGTTTCTTCTGCCTCGAATGCCATACACTTACATAGCTTTTTTTCTTTTTTGAACAGTGAATGATTAGCTCCCTAAGCCCTCCAGGCTCCAAAAAACTCCATTATCTCCACTCACCCCTGCCCCACTATTTTATTATGGCTCTATGAATTCTCCCATCAGGTTGTTCTATTTTGTCTACTATTTTATTCCAGCTTTTCATAACAGTGCTTGGCTCTTGATAAGTATGTAAATACCACTTAAAATATGGCAGGAGAAAGTCACAAATACCACCAGTGGAGAAACAATATTAACTTTAACTAGATGGTTAACTGCTTCAGCTAGGATTTCTTTCTACTACTTTCCCAGCTATTGGGAAACCTCTGCTGTACCCTCTGAGATGTGTGTCCCAGAAATTACCCAGCAGTAGCTCCACAAAGATGTATCTGGAGTCTTGAGTTACCTCGTAATAATGGCTTTGGCATACTCCCTAAGAATCTGTCCTTAAAAATATCTGGGCTATTACATTGGTGCCTACTAAAACATGTAAGATAAAAGGAACTTCTCCGTGTCATTGTTCCAGCCTCTCCCATTTAACATTTAACTCAAATAGATGCTTTTCTGTCACACACATACACACACTCTTTATATTTTAAATCTGGTACACACAATAAGGGATGCTTGCTTATTTTCACACAACCTCTTTAAGCTTCCCCAAACGCTCTCCAATTCCCTTTTCCCTAATATTCTATTCATTAACCAGCATTAGTTTTCAACCTTATTGCCATTCTGGACACATTTCAGGTGGTCAATGCTACTCACATGGAGTATAACTGAATGCTGTTGTGCTAATGGGGCTTCATGGTTTCATTACTTTTGGGAGGAACTCTTAACAGAATCTATAAATATGCAGTAAAGGATAATCTCTGCTTTCTTCAGAGAATACCCCTCAGACTCTGTGTATGCACTTATACACATTCTAGGAAAGTTTAAGTTACTGGCACAAAGGCTAGTGATAACAAATAGAAGGTAAGAAAAACCAGGGCTATATGGAAGAGGTTATATTTAGTCTGTGAATGAAGAGGGTATGTTTGAAGAATGAGCAGTTCAAGTGCCAACAAAGAACATTTAAAAAGAACAAACAGAAAGTGAGGATACTCTGGATGGTCAGTGGATCAGAACTGCACTTAAGGAGGAAAGCATTAGTCAACACAAAGAGTGATAATGGAGATAGAAAACCAGTGATCAAAATAGCTGCATGAGATCAGGGAGTGGATGGCTGCCATAATTCACAAATACTAGCATACGCCTACATGATAAGACAACATCTGACTTATAAAATTGTGAGTTGTGATAGTTCTTCAGTTGTTTTTTTTTTTTTTTAAATCACAATACTATGTTTTCTCATGTACATTATTTTGTTTTAGACAAAGTTTCATGTGGCCCAGGTTGGCCTCAGACCTGCTATGTACCTAAGGATAATCAAAAACTTCTGATCTTCCTATGTCTACTTCTTCAATGCTAAGATTACAGGTATGCACATTGTGCTCAGTTTATGCTGTGCTCGGGATCAAATGGAAGGTTTTATACATGCTAGACACTCTACCAACTGAGCTACATTCCTAACAGTTCTCAGTCTTTCTAGGGCATGGATGTTATAAGCCTACCCATGCTAACAAATACCCCTTGTCTCTGTGTCTGTGTCACTTCACATGTACTCAGTGGGGACATCCTCATTGCTTTTATTGGCCCCACATGAGTTTTCCCATACTCATTTTGTTTCCTTGAGTAGAGTTATATAATTAAAACAATAGTACAATAAGACTACTATTATTATTGTTGCCACACTGTATGGATCTCAAGACTCCAGGGATGCCCAAGGTGTAAAAGGTGTTTGTTTACGAAACATGGTCTTCTATTATGTAGCTCTGCTGTCTTGAACTCAGTACATAGCCCACGCTGACCTGGAACTCAAGAGATCTACTTGCCTCTGCCACTGGAGATCTGGGATTAAAGGTGTGTATCACCACATACAGCTGAAGTAAAGGTATTTTTAAATGTTATCTTGAGACTGTAATAATGGTACATATGCATATTTTCTATCTTAATATTACTCTAGCTCAAGCAGTGACGAACAATTCTGCCTTCAGTTTGCCTAGATCCTAGACAACTGGTAGGATTGATTCAGTACCACATTATTATGATAGCCCACTGGGAAAGCATCGATGATTAAAATACTGTATGAATATAACTTACTCATTAATAATCAGATCAGGAGCAAAACACAGCAGGTTTGCACTTGATTGTTTGTATGATCTCCAACCCAGGGCAAATGCCATGAGAAACATCCATGAGTACTGCAGGAGGGTCATTTGGTCATCCAGGTGTAAGTTTCTGAATCCTAAATTGGAAATAAAGGTGTAAGGCAACACTCTAGTTGACCAGTTATCCTTGTTTGGGGGTGACCTTTACTAGTATCTGTCAGATGAACACCTAGGCACACAGAACATTTTAATGGTCCAACAAAATGTATGAATAGTTATTATTTTTGTCACTTTTGCCTATTTAAGTATATACAAAGTAATATCATAAAAGAGTCTTGGCTTAGGATATTTCTTAATGGATTTAGATTTTAAATTTTCCTGGTATCTATCTACTTTCCTTTGCTAATATGGTGAGGGTGATGGGAGCTTAGGTTACTTAGTCTTCCTCTGCCTGTGTATGCAGCCATTACCTTGCCAATCTCCTCTATCTGTAAAGTCCGTCTGGCTGGTGCTTCACATTGACTTCTACACCAAAATTCCAACATAAAACTTTTGTTTAAAATGCCTTAAAATTAGATGAAAATTTATATTCAACATGTGGCATATCATTTTATGGAAAGCAAAAATGATTTTGTATTAGTAAATTTTGAAAAATTCAGCAACTCACTGTTTATCAATTTCAAAAACAAACAAACAAAATGAATGGAATTCCTAAATGTTCTCCTGTAGGTGTCATAGACAATGGAATTTGAGTTAGTTCTGATAATCACGATCCTGTCTAAAATGAAATGTTATGGGTGAAAATAAGGTACTAATGTCTATGGTTTACCATGGATTTCTCGTTTGTCCTTATGAGTAAGAGAAACAAGATTTGCTGTGAAATTAGAATGCTACACAACCTAAGGAGCCCCAGAAGCAGCTTTATTTTTGGGGGTGCTGCAGATTAACCCCAGGGTCTTGCGTGTGGTAAGCAAATGGCATACCACTGAGTTGTCCATCAAGCCCAACCCAGAATGCTTTTGTTCGAGAAAATACAAAGGTCTATGCTGTAGTTCTGTCATCATTTGTATCTTACCTGGTATTGCCTTTGCCCATTTCACGGCTGCAATCACTTGGCGCCCACCTAACATGTTGAGTGTGGTCATGATTCTCCAAGTTGAGTCTGGAATAGAGCTGTCATATCCTGAATATAAGACCTCAGGTTCAATCACCTCCAGCAGTGATACCAGGGTAGGGGTAAGTTGTGGTAATGCTGCAGGAACTATCGTTTTGTTAGGATTTTCAGAAGTGTCTTGTGAGACTCCTGTAGTGGCTTGCTGAATCCCTTTTATTTTTTTCTTTGTTTTTCGGGCTGTGAATATTGAAGAAAAAAAAAAAAAAAAGAAATGTACTGAATCAAATTTGTAGCCCAAACTTTCCAATTATAAGAGTTGTTTAATTTATGAAACTACTACTGAAACAAGTATTTTAAATATTTTTGGCATGTGTGGCCCCCACAATCTCAAAAGGAGTGGTACTATTAGAAGGTGTGGCTTTGGGGCCTTTTGCTTAAGCTTCACTCAGTGTCACAATCTGTTGACTTTCTGGTGCCTGCAAGATGTAGGACACTCAGCTACTACACTAGTACCATGTCTGCCTGCACGCTGCCATGTTCCTTGTCATGATGATAACAGACTGAACCTCTGAAACTGTAAGCAAGCCACCCCAATTATATGTTTTCTTTATAAGAGTTGCTGTGGCATGGTGTCTCTTTACAGCAATAGAAACCTTAAGACAGCACGTATGTGTGAAAGTATGGTGTATGTATACATACCTGCGTGGGAACATACACCTGTGTATTTGCTCAAGGCCAGGGGAAGAAGTTGGGTGTCCAACTCTGTCACTTCCTACCTTATTATTTTTGAAGTAGGCTTTCTCATTGAACTTGGAGTTAGGCTACCAGCCAGTAAACCTAGATAACCTCCTGTACCCACCCTATCTCTCAAAAGTGCTGGGATTACTAGGCATGTACTAGCCATGCCTTGCTTTTTATGTGGGTACTGGGACCCACACTTGGGTCTTCATGCTTTCTTAGCAAGTGATCTTACCCATTGAGCCATCTCTCCAGCTCCAGAATTCCTTATTAGTAATTATAAGGACATGGCATGGAAAGGGAGAAATTTTGTGAAAGATCCATAGGAATTCACACCCACAATTTGTTTCTCCTAAAAGTTAGCCAGTAGTATACTGTTTACCTTAAACTTTTGACCTTTCTGCCTATTTTATTAATTCTTCCAGAATTTTATATAATGTGTTTTGATCATATTTGCATCTTTTTCTAATTCCTCACAGATACACACCCCTTTCCCTACTCTGTTCTCACCTATTAAAAATTTTAAATCCAAAAGTACAATTTGTGCCCCCCACTCCATATGCTCTTGGATGTGTGGCCTTCCACTGGAGTAGGATGACCTATCAGGGGCTGCACTCAATAGCTCCTTAGGTAGGGTATAGGACTCTGTGTCCTTTCTCCTTCTCCATGCTGGGATCTGGTCTGGCTTGAGTGTTGGCCAGGTCTTGTGATTACTGTCATAACTGCTGTGAGTTCCTATGTGCAGCTGTCCTGCTGTGTCTGAGAACAGTTTCCTGTAGCCATGCACTGCCTTACTCTTACAGTTTTCCACACTCTCTTATGCAATTATCTCTGAGTCTTGGGAGGAGGTTTGCTACAGATGTCCCATCTAGGATGGAGCATTTTGCATTGAATACAAACAATGTACACTTGAATTAATTTTTGTAACTTTTGTACTTTCAAGAAAGTGGTTTAATGTGTTAGTACTTGGCTGTCAATTTTAAACAATCTGGATGGATTTTATATTTAGCAACATACTCTGTAGAAGGCAGCATGGGAATCTCTCCTATCAAGAGAAAAAGATAAATACCATTCTCTCAATATCAGCATTTTTACTCAAATTATTACTACTCTTTTTTCTTTGGTCTCCCAATATAAGATTAGTATTTTTTAAAGGCTTCTTTTTACTTTTAATTATGTATATGCATTTTTGTCTATGTGGAGTATGCATGTCAAATCCCCTAGAATGGAGTTACAGGCAGTTGTGAGCTGTCAAATGTGGGTGCTGGGTGGGAAGTGAACTTGGTTCCTCTGCCACTGATCCATTTCTCCAGCCCAAACACTGGAGTCTTTGTACAATATAAATGTAACCATGTCTCTGCCATTATTGTTTATTTAATTCCTACTCATTGTCTATATTTACAATTCAGTGCTACTTCTTCCAGGGTAACTTCTCTGACCTTCAGGACAGAATCAGATGACCTTCCCTCCTGATCCTGTACTATCATTCCTTTTGTGGCATGCCACACTATTTTGTGATTGATTTTGTGCCTAAATAGAAAGTAAGCTGCTCAAAGTCAGGCACTGAATTTGTATTCTTTATACTTGTTGAGTACTTGCTAAATAAAGTACCATGATGGCAATAAACACTAATTTGAGTTAGTAAGAATGCCATGTTCGTGTTCAGATTGCTTGCTATTTCAACTACAGCAAAACCCCAAACTTTTCCAGATGAAAGTTTTTAAATGAGATTAAGTTTTGATTATATAACTTATTATATAAACAGAAATATCAACTTCAAACTTACAAGTAGTTTTAGTTTTTTTATACTTAAACCTCAAACCCACCCAATAACGCCTTAATTTTTTGCAGAGTTGTAGTAAAACATGTTTTTTTTTTCAAGTAAAAGGCATGTTTTTGAAATGTAAAAGAAAGTGAGGAACATGAAATAGATCTCATACAGTACTTTTCCAAACTTAGGGAATGATTTCAATAAAAAGGAGTAAGAAGGATGAAAACAAAGTTGCCTCAACTTATGTCATTTCCAGTTATTATGTAATTTCTTTATTTAACATACACTCTGGCTATCCTAAATTCAATGTACATAACAAAATTGATGAATTAACACATAAATTATGTGATCTTGGAAAAACCCAAAATATTATACAATATATTTTATTACACAATAATATAACATTATGTTAATTTAACATATATAAACTGAGTTCATTAAGTGATTACATCTGCTGCTATTATAAGAAGCAAAGTGATGAGTTTTCATGTGATAGCTAGATAGTTCTTTTAGGTATTTCCATTACCTTCAAGGTTCATTCCAGCTTGAAGACATTTTCGATAGCGGCATGCTGGGCAGTTTTTTCTTCGAATTTTATCAATGATGCAATCATTTCTTCCAGCACAAAGATAATTGTGCTGTCCTAAAAGAGATATAAAGAGGCACTATTAAAATTCCACACGTCTGTAAGGATATTTTTTATGAAGAGCCTAGTATCTTTCTGTTTTTATTCTGAGTGGAATATGAGCAAGATACAAAGTCACCGATTAAGGAAGGCATTGAATTAAGAAGGTAAGTGTGCTTGTCTACATGAATTACAATGTTGAAAGGGCTTGTTCTGTTCAACAAATTTAAAAGTCAATTAAAACAAACCTTACTGCAGTATTTCATATATAGATGTGTACAAATCATAAATATACTTTTGGATTAAGAGACAGAATGATATCCTATAAACCCCCTTGGGCCAAAAGTCAGCACTTTAAAACCTGCTTTACATAGTCCTTTTAACATTTATAGATTGGATCTGTAATGTTTGTAAGCATTGTTTTATTATTAATTCTGACCTATTATTGAAGTGACTAAAGAGAAAGCAAGCTTAAACATATTTTGGAATCCCTAAGAAAAAATGACTTTAATTCAACTGTCAACATTATGCCTTCACATGTTTTTAAGTGAAGTAAAACATTGCCAATTGCCAGCAACTGATTACATAAATTACAAACTTGGCAAACTTACTACAATTATCTAATATACTTTTGGAATATAAGGATGTTTGGAGTAACCTGTGGCCTCACATACTGACTTAAAGAGTGCTAATATCTAAATTTTCTGGTACCTAGTATTGAAGAACTGAAGTTCTCTCCTATTGAAACATTCTAAAAAACATTAAAAAGGAAAAGACTACAAGTGTTTCTGTTTCCCACATGCACATTCTCCTTGTCTTCTTTTACTCTGAGTATTAAATATCAATGAGAGAAATTGAAAGATCCATTTGCCTGGGGGTAAATATGGAAGTTTCCTATGTAAGACTTGATTGTTCACATAGATACATCAATAATTAACATTCTTGGTTACTTATACTAGATGGGATTGCAAGACCTTAAGAAATGAATGACATTTCTCAAGAATAAATCATATTTGAAGAAATGAGAAAACATTACAATGATTAGTCCACCATGCTGAACACATTTAGTCCTGGTTTCTAAGAAGAGACTTTTTTTCTTTAATGCCTAGGGCAACCAAAGACTTGGATTAAAAAAATATTTACTTTTTCCTGGTATGATAAATATGAGTTTGGAATACATGGTCAACTACATCAGTTTCATCTTTTGGGAAGATAAGGCTACAAAGTTGACTCATGGTTACACATCTAGCATTATCTCAGGGCTATTCACCCATGCCAAGTATCTATCTCCCTTGAGATCCTTTCTGTATTCTGTAAGCTTCCTAGACACAAAATGGAGGAAGTTTATTTTACCCAATAAAATCCTATTATATGGGATTGAAAAGATGGCTCAGCACTTGCTGCTCTTGCAGAGGATATGGGTTTAGTTCCCAGATCCCACACGGCAGTAGCTTACAACTATCTTTAACTCCAGTTCCTGGGAATTAGATGCCTTCTGGTCTCTGCATATACCAGGCACACATGCAGCGTTCACATAGGCAAACATTCATACACATAAAATAAAACTAAATACTTTTTAAAAATCCCATCTTGCAACAAAAGAAGAAATAACAGATTGCATCCACAGCTAATGCATAAAAATTTTACCCCTTAAAACTATCCCCATATCCTCTTGCAAAAAAATATCCCTACATTAGTTTCCTGCAGTTACTGGAAAAAAATGTGAAAAATTACTTCTAGAATAGAAGAAATTCAGTGTTTATGTCCAACTAAAAGATTCAGCTATGCATATTACGCTGATATTGATTTCTCTGTATAGGGTGTTATGTAACTAGGAATCTTCATTATAGGCTCAAATTATCATAATAGTGTGATGTTTATTAAGACAAGGGATCGGAGTTAGTGTTCAATTTTTCACAAGGGATGGCCATGCATTACTAATAGCAATTTAAAAACCATCCTTTTAAGACATATCTGGAGTTCCTTTTGCCTGCCACCTGGAAAATTTCCTTTTATCAATATCAAGTGAAGAGCCTTCAGATCATCAGAAACCTCTTAAAGCTGCTGTTACTGGTACTTTTGGCTACAGTCTACTTTTAGCATGTGATTGTGGCTTGCCATTAATGATAGTGTAGTAGCCAGACTAAAAGACACCCAGTGTATCTGTCTCCTGGTCCAGAGAAGTGTAGTCCCTTCCCATATCATACCAAGGCTGGCTTGAGTGACCAATAAAGTATTTCATAGATCTAAGTGGTATGGGAAATGGGAACATAACAAAATGCATGTAGAACATGAAGACTACAAACTGCCCTGGGATTAAATATAAAGTAATACTACCAGCTTAAACTTTTATAAGCCTTCTCAGTTGCAGTGTGGTATAGTGAGGCATGTATTAGTGGGGTGCCAAAAAACTGTTCTTGAAAACATGAACTTTTTGGGATTTGTTTTCTTATGGAGTGTTGTAAAATTTGTAAATCTTAGAGGTAATTATGCAGATGATGCAGTGCATGGTAGCTATTAGTTAAACCTCTTGTGATTACTTTTATTTCAGCATCCACCTATATTATGAACTGGTAGGTACCAAGGGCTTGTCATATACATCTTTGAGAGTCATTGTT